TGGAATAGACAACTGGTATAAAATGACACCGAAGATCCTGAAAACCAGGTGGGCCAGGCCAGGAGATCCTGAAAACTCCTTAGCACGTATCCAGAATAAATCTATCTAGCAGTAATGCTAATTCACCCTTCCATTTAGAGTTACATCGGCATAGTTCAAGATAAATGGTAAGAAAGGAAGTACCGGGTGATCCTCAAATTGCTAATTTCAATCCAAAATTATTAAAATGGGATCTTTTAAACTTAACTTTGCTTTGGTGTTAAATTCAGAGAGAGGGAGAGGAACGTCCACAAAGGAGGTAGATAAAGGATTATTTACCAAACACATACAAGCATACAGTGTTTATGAAAACACATGGTAAAAAAGTACACCAAGAAAACAGAGGCTATTTAATGACATGGAAGGAAAAAGGGATGAAGACAGGGGGACCAGAGTTTAAAAGCAATTTTTTGGGTTTCAGATACATATCATGGTAACAGGTAGAAATAAGGACAAATCTTTTGATCTCCTCTGCACACCAGTAGAGATTTATGTAAGGTAGTGTGATTGCATCAGTTCAGCCTTACCCTTGGCCTGACTTTACATTCTGCTGTGGAAATCTTGCTTGGACTGCCCTTATGCACACTGCTCCAGAGAAATCAGCCCTGTGTTGTCAGAAACTGACTTTCAAGTAGGTCCTCTTGGTAATTCATGTTATGGAATTTAGTTTAGTCAGAAAGCATTTGAAAAGGGTATTAACTTTGGTTGCCTCTTTTCTGATAATGGAGGGTCTTCTGGTTTCCCTTTGGCTTTTAATAGCTTGACCATTTTTGGCCGCCAGTGCACTGTAACAACTAAACTACAGATTTGTCTGTTCTCTCTCTCTCTCTCTCTCCCATTTCCTAGTAACTAATCATGTTAGTGTGCTGTTAGAATAGCATCACTGATTTTTGTTCTTGGCCTGTTATCCTTATGCTTGTAAGGTCATACTTAATTTCTGGATGTGTTTTCCTTTTCATTGTTAGAACAGTTGTCACAAGAGGTCAAGGCAAGCATGACAATTAAATTTTACATTTCTGATGCTGAAAAAAAAACGGTGCTGTTCTTCCAGAACAGTGTCCTCTTGCATTCTCAATTGAAGGGGCCCCCCCTTATTCTACATCTTAGGAACTAGAGGTGGTTAACTTTGCACAGGTTGTGAACCACCCATCACCCTTACTGTTGGAATCAGTGTGCAGTCAAGCTGAGAAGGCACTGTAGCTTTCCAAGTCACTATCTAGGGCATCCATAAGCAGAAAGAAAAGAAAACACATTGACCGAAACTCATATCTCATATAAAAATTAATTCAATGGATGACTGACAAGTATAAAACATAATATTATAAAACCTGTAGAAAAAAAAGACAAAAGCAAATCTCTAGGACTTAAGGCTGGGTAAAGCATTAGACTTGACGCCAAAAGCATAATCCATAAAAGGAAACACTAATAAACTGAATCGCATCAAAAGTAAAAACTTACGCTCTGCAACAGATGCTGCTAAGAAGAGGAAAACAAAAGCTACAGACTGGGAGAAAAGAGCTACAAACCCTCCATTAAAGGAAGAGTATCTAGAGTGCATAAAGAACTCTCAAAATTCAACAATAAGAAAACAGGCAAAAGACTTATGAAAAGGCACTGCTCTGCAGATGGACAGACAGCTAATAAACACACGAAAAGATGTTCAGCTTCTCTGGTCATTAAAGAAATGCATATTAAACCAGGAGTTATCACTACACATTTATCCAGAATGGCTAAAATAAGAAAGAGTGATAATACCAAATGCTGAGAGGATGTGGAGGAACTGGGTCATTTATGCAATGCTGATGGGAAGGCATGTAAAGTGGTACAGCCACTCTGGAGGAGGGGATGGCAGTTTCTTACAAAATTAAACATGCACTTAACATCTGACCCAGCAATTCCACTCTCGGGCATTTATCCCAGAAAAATTAAAACTTATATTTACACAAAAACTTGTACACAAATGATGCTAGTGGTTTGATTTGTAATAGCTCCAAATTGGATATAACCCAAAAGTCCTTTAATGGGCGAATATTCAGAAAATTGTGATACAGGCATACCATGGAACACTACTCAGCAATAAATCGGAACTATTGATATATGACACTTTTTTTTTTTGCTGAGACATGCAGAGAATTTTTATTTATCACGTATGTTAATTCTTATATTTACCTGCAGAACAGAGTCACAGAGAGAAGTGCAGGCAAGGCATTAGTAGGGTTCAAGGATCCAGCATCTAGTACACAGTAGTTGGTTCTATAAGGGTTTGTCATATTTCTCAAATGCCAACTTTTGGTACAGTAAACTGTCAGTCACTTTTATGTAGATGCCTTTTTCTGCCAATTAAGGATTTCATGCCATATTTTTTTGTGTTTTTTTGTGTGTGTGGTTTTTCTTTGTATTTTTTTTGTTTGTTTTCAGTTATCTTTTGAGGTTAGGTGGTAGGGCTCCATCCCTCTCCCCTCCACAACAGAATAGTATTCTTATTAGAAGTTCCTAAGACCAGGCAATTCCAGCATGCAAAGTGTGATAGGACAGAGCCGGGAAGATGAGAAACTGTAACCATCATCTAGGGATAATATATTCCATCGCTGCTGCTCCTTGCAGCCTGCGGGTCCTCTTCGCCACCCTCTCCATTAAACCCATTAACATGCAGGATCCTCATCTGCTTCACAATGGTGCTTTTACCAGATTCTCCCGCACCCAGCAGCAGCAGGCGGTGTGTGGCCCAGTAGACCTGCTTGTCCTTCTGCAGCTGCTTCTCCATCTTTTTGTTGGCCTCGCGCTGTGCCTTCTCCTCGCTGCACTGGTCCTCGGTCTTACTGTTTCCGAGGCAGCCCATGGCGGCGGCGGCGGGGCGCAGGGCCGATATATGAGACATCTTGAACAGATCTCAAGTGCTATGCTCTGAATGTTTGTGTACCCCCAAAATTCATATGTTCAAACCTAATGCCAAATGTGATGGTGTTGGGAGGTGGAGCCTTTGGGGAGTGATTAAGTCATGAGGGCGGTGTCTTCATGAATGGGATTAGTGCCCTTATAAAAGAGGTATGAGAAAGCTCCTTGCCCCTTCTGCCATATAAGGTTAGAGCAAGAAGAGGGCCTTATCTGAACCAGGAAGCGGCCTCTCACCAGACACAGAACCTGGCACCACTGTCTTAGACTTGCAACCTCCAGAGCTCTGAGAAATACAGTTCTGTTGTTTATAAGCCATGTAGTCTGTGGTGTTTTGTTACAGCGATCTGAGTGGGCTTAAAACATCAGGGAACAGCACTAAATGAAAAAAAATCTAATCTCAGAGGGTTACAGGTTATATGATTCCATTTATATAATATTTCTGAAATGACACATTACAGAGATTGAGAACAGATTTGTGGTTGTCAGGGGTGGCAAGTAGAGGGAAGGAAGTGAATGCAGCTACAAAAGGGTAGCACATGAAACCTATTTGATCTCTATCTTGATCGTGATATAGCCACACAACTCTATACATGTGATGCAATTACATGGAACTAGATACACACAAATACACATATGAATGCTTGTAAACCTGGTGAAATCTGAATCAGGTTGGTGGACTGCATCAATGTCAATTTCTTAGTTGCCATATTATAGGACAGTTGCATAAGGTGCTCCCACTGTGGGAAACTGGATGAAGGGTGCAGGGTAGCTCTCTGTAATATATCCTACAACTATATGTGAATCTATAACTCTCTTAAAATAAAGCATTTTTAAAGATTACTATCTAGTTCTTATTTATTCTAGGCGCCCTCTTTCTAATGTTCCACCCATTAGATGCCTGATTTCTTCTTTCCCCAATCTTCCTACTCTGTAGTCTTAATAATGGAAAACATCACACTACAATTAGTCGTTTAACTCTTGCTTTCCAAAAACTCTTACTTACAGTTTACTATTACTAACTGGGGCATACCAATATTCGAATACTGACTCTTAAGCTGCATGAAATGGATGAAATGCTTTCTGAGTCTTAGTTACCTCACTGGTAAAATAGGGGAAAATGTAGATTAGGTTTATTGTGAAGATAAATAAAATAGTAAGTAAAGAACTTTATACATAGTAGTTCCTTAAAAGTTCACTTCCTTCCTTTTCCTATTAACAGTCTAAAACCTAGCTTAATTTCTGGATAAAAAATACCAACAAAAAACTTTGGTTTTCAGTTTCCAAGGCTTACATTTGGAAAACAAGAAATGCATCTTTAACAAGCACAGACTGGGGATGTGGTGAGGCTGAATTCAGTTCTTAGAAATATTTCAATTTAAGAGACCATAATGATAATTTTAAGCCTATGTGTTCTCACTTCGAGTTTGAAAACATTCTATCAAAATGGTGTTTTAGCATATCATGCACTTTATTATGATGAGTACCTGCCCAATATATGGTTAAATCCATAAAGAGTAACTGATCATCTATTAGATTACATCTATTCACAAACCAACAACTGTATATATGTTGGATGAGTTCAGCTTTAGTAATGACACGAACTCCAATGGTAGAATTTCATCCATTCCATCTACTTACAAAAATACTTTTCAGTAACAGACTCCCAACAAGGTAATAAGCTTAAAATACGTCATAGATTTTTAGTTATAGCTAAACCAAGTAAGCTACGAGAGCAGCAGGAACTAAGCATTTGGGATCTAAGATTCAATGTAGGTTGCTAAATGTGGGATCCCAAGCAACATGCAGCTCAGTGCGTAATGATGGTGCGAGATCCCCTGGGCAGCACCGGCCTGAGAGAACTGTCAAAGATGGAAAGACGAGAACTGAATGTTCTTCCTCTACTGCGAGTAAGAAAAAGGATGAAAACAAAGTGCAATTTAACTTCTCCTGGACACCTGCTTTCTTTATGAACACTCGCCAAACACAGAATGCCAACTAATACTTGAGGACAAAGTCCCCCCGCAAACATTTAAATACTGATAATAATTTTGCAAAGCAATGCTTACCGAGCAAAATAACTTTGTTTCCGTTCCTTCTTCTCTTCCTTGGTATCCATAATACACAATCAAAATGCAAAGTATTTGGAAAAGTCCTTCTTTTTAAATCAGTGAATCATAACCCTATAATAAAAAAACAACAAAGTGACTGTAAATTAGGAAGTTTATAACAGCCAAGATGAAGAATAAAACAGCGTAGAACTACATGGCCCGCCATGAACGGAAGATAAACTTGAACCAGTAAATGTAGTCACATGAGTAACACATGAAATGCAAATGTCCATGGGGGGGGGGGCGTTTATAACCTACCAACAGGATGGAAGTGTTAAACTAAAATAAAAGGTGGCTGGAAAATTAGACTGAAGTATTTTCCTTACAATTAACGATTATTTCGAAATGTGCTAAAATGAAAACCACTGATTTTTTTTGAAGATTTTAGGCTGCCTATGCAGCCAAAATTTACAAACTCACTTTTTATAGGTAATTGATCATGAATAGGTCTCATACATAATTATGAAAAATGGATCACTTACGTGTTTTACGAGAATGTTCTTTCTTTAAAAATAACATCAGTGTTCTATTTTATTTTCGGAAACATGCCAGCGACTACATCCCACTTGAGCAAATGTGGAAATGAAAGTACAAAGCCTCAGGAAGCTATTCTTCAAAATGGCTTTATAGGCTTGCTCTGCCCTCCCCACCCTACTACCCTCACCTATGCTTCCCAGGAGCGTTTGCTTAAACCTGTAATAAAAGACTGTCTCCAGATCAATCTTCCTTAAATACCACTTTCATCATATGCCACTCCCCTGCTCAAAAATTTCCAGTGTCTACTTTGTGCCTGATTCACTCACCTAAATTTTCTGCAAAGCATTAACCTTCCCTAAAATCTATCCTCTCATCCTGAGGGGTATCAAAGTAAAAGCAAAGAATGTTCATCAATCAAAATTATTTGCTAATTCAATTCAATGAACAATTTTTTAAAAAGATTTTAAAGTAATCTCTACACCCAGTGCGGGGCTTGAATCCACAACTCCAAGGTCAACAGCCACTGCTCTACTGAGTAAGCCAGCCACGTGCCCCTTCAACAAACAATTTAATTCACAATACACATTCCATGGAAGGTACTACGATAAGTATCAGAGACCAAAGATGAAGAAGCCATGGTATTTGCCCTAACAGAGTTTACTGTCTTACAAGGGAGATGCTTAGGATTTGAGATCAATGGGATACCGACTGCCGTGGAGGAGGCACAGGTGCCGGGAGAGCCCAGAGGAAGAACACTCGGCCTCATGCACGGCCCACCTCGTGTACTCCCCATGCACACGAAGATTAGAAGGATGAGTATGGATTTCCTACTAAAAGGATACAGGGAAGCAGGTCTAGCATGCACAACACAAGAAGACATGATACTTCTCTGCTGCTCCAGGATTAACCGTGAAGCAGGGCAATGGAGGAAGACATGGGCAGGATTAGGGTCATGGCAGGCCTTTTCTGTCACACGAAAGAGCTTGATCTTAATCCCAGCTATGCATTATGTGCCGCCTGCCCCTTTGCGGCTCCTGTGTCAGACATCACCAAGCAATAGGGCTGCACTCGCTTACAGACATTACCAAACTGATCAACAGGAGATAAAACCAATTTTCTCATCCCTGATGTACATGAAAGGAAGTCACCAAAGCGTTTTACACGAGGGACTGTGATACACCCACACTGGAAGGATGGACTTGAGAGGGTTGAGTCAGCGTGAAATAGAGCTGTTAGGAAGAAATTACAGCAAAACTAGTTCCGAGAGGAGGGCCCACATTTAGGCAGCAGTATCCAACATAGAAAGAGCAGGGATGCACTCAAGAAATATTTAGGAGGCAAATGAGTCAAGGTCTGGTGACTCATTCAGTGTGGACAACCTCAGAGAGGCGAGATGAAGAATGCCCTCCAGGCTTCTGCTGCAGGGGCTGCATAGACAGTGACACCACAGATAGAACACGGTCAACATGAGGGGGGCAAGCCGGGTGTGGGTCAGGGCGCAGACACAGGTAAAGAACAGGGTTTGGACACACTGCCTTCGAGGTGCCTGTGGGATAGTCAGCTGGAGACATTCACCAGATGTTTGATTTTGCTTACAGCACGAGTGTGGTGAGGGCTGCGGCAAAAGATTTAGAAGTTATCAGCATATGGTTGTGGTTAAGTCAAAAAAAAGAAAAGCAAGCAAGCGGGGATGATAACACCCTGCAAACGTGACAGCCGTGTGCAAAGTCCTCCACGGGAACAACAGGGACAGTCTGACTGACTGCTTTACCTCCATGTCCTTCATGTGCCCTCTGTTCTCGAGGACTTTATCATCCAGTAGGGAAAATAAGATGTATGCAAAACACTAAAATGCAAGGTAGTAACTTGGAGTTGTCCGAAGAAAGGTAGTAAGAATACAGAAGACACAAAGTTCACTTTTGATCGAGGTGATAAAGTAAGTCTTTCAGGGCAGTGAGGATTTCAGTAAGTAAAAAGAAGAGGGAGAGCATTCCAGAAAGAGGGACCAGCTGGGCGTAGGTATGGACAGAAAAAGAACAAGGCACGTTCAGGCAGGAAGGACAGAGTGGCTACCAGGTAAGAAAAGGGAACCAATCATAATGCCTGCCTACCAGAAGTTACTTACTTCAACATATTATCCACATGTTATCTCTTTTAATCTTTACAACCACCCTGTAAGTACGGTACCCTTATTTTCACTAAATGGAGGCTGAGAGATACTAATTTCCCTAGTTCCACAGCACCAGCTGTGGTGGAGCAAGGATTTAAATCCAGTTTGGTGCACGCTTCAATGCCTTTCAACAACCTTTGGAGCCAGAAATATTTGGAAATGAGTGAGAAAAAGCAGTCTAGAATCAACAGTGCCCAATGCCTCGTTGCAGAATCTGCAGATCAGAGCAAATGTAGCTGGGTGTGGGGGGAGGGGGTCCCTGAGCCCTCCAGCAGAACTGCACCAGCAGAGGGGTAGGAGTAGAAGCCATGCCTCAAGGAATGAGCATTCATTCAAGAAGTTGGGTGATGAAAGAAAGATGAAAAAGAAAAGACAGTGGTGTCCAACTCTCCCGAGAGCTCAGTCACACTGTGGCCTGAACCCAGTGGGGGTCCCTTCACCAACCCCCTCCCTCCCCTTCACCACCCCCGCAATGGGGTCCTTTCACCACCACCCCCCCCCCACTGACCCCGCACCTTAATCCTTACTCTTTCTCCAAGCTTCAAGGGACTTGGTTACACTCCTCCATCTGACCAGATCTAGCACAAGGCCCAGTTCTGCTCTACAGCCTTCCCTGACCACTTGTGTGCTCTCCTTTCTCTTCCTTAGGAGCTTATTTCACAAGTCACTGAATACTTACCATGAAGCTCTGAGTCAACCGCTATGTGACACCACCGCTTCACTTAGCCCCCTCAGCCACAAACCAAAAGCGCCTTCAGGTCAAAAACCACCATGTTTCACAATTTCCTTTTACTTCCCTAAATACCTAACCCAGAACTAGGTAGTGAATCCACATAAAAGCTAAGCAAGGAATTAATCCAGGCTTGGGGTAAGGTCAATTAGTATGGCAGACTGATATACATCCAAGAATTCTCCCCTCCCTCTCAATTAAGAATAACTTGGAGGCAAAAAAATAATAATAATAACTTGGGGGCGAGGGATATAGATGCAAAGCAGTTTCTCTCTCTCTCAGACGCAGAAAGGATGAGAATCCCTGATCTGGGCCAGGTGGTTTATTTTAAAGTTCCTCTCCTGCATGCCACCATATGTGATGATCCCTGTTTATTAGATTTCTCCTCATGAATAAAAATGAAGTCATAACAATCTAATTGGAAAATTTTTATATTGCAAGCTGAGCCAGAAACTAATATTTGGTTCTAGTGGAAAAATATTGACAAAAATAAGCACAAGAGAAAAAGATTAAATGATCCAAGAACTGACATCTGGTGCCGCTGTGTCTGTTTAGAACTTGCGAAGCTTTTTTTTTTTTTTTTAATATTCTATTTGGTAAAGAAAAAATATACTAATCTTTGATTTCTTTTAAATTTCTGGGAATTTTTGTATTCCTTAAACAAGACATATGCAGTCCTTTCAGGTCTAGACGCACCAAGAGATTAACCAGGAAGAGAACAGCAAAGGATGCTATAAAAATGATTTGCACAGAGGACCGCATAGCAGCCTTCATGCTTCACTGAAGGACCAGAGCTCCTTAAATCAATCTCTAATGGGAACTACATTTTCCATTATAAGTGGTTATAATGGGCTTCTTAAAAGCCCTTCTTTCATTTAATGTTGACTTTTCTTCACATCAATAAACTCTAGACTCATCCAAACACTGAATTACAAGTCTCCTGCATTTACGGCACATTACAGACCAAAAAGAATTTCACGAGAGAAGCACAAGATGAATCTATCTACATATTTCTTTTTGTGATCTTAAATCAGGATGGTCAATTTAAACCTAAATTCAGTTCATTATGCAAATAAAAAAGGCACCTACAAAATCCTTACCTTGTAAGCGCTGTGTTGAAGACAAAATATTTACTGTTATTACCTGTAAAGCGCTCCCTGTTTGAGACCATGGTGCCACTCAGAAAGAATTTAAGCACAGAGCGACAAGAGACTTCTGAAGTACATCAAACCATCATGGACCCACAAAGCCCAGGGTGGCTTTCTGGCTTCGCATCTAACACCTTGCAGCTCCTTGCACATTCAGGTATAACCAGTCTGGACTAGAAAAACACCAGTGTACCTATGATGTCCATCAACTGTTTTCCCCACAACATGTTTCCTATTATACAAACGAAATAATGACAACAACATGCTTTGAGGCTTGGTCACACTAAGTTTGGGCCCTTGGGGGACAGACCAAACTGGACCTTCCTATGCAGATATTTCCTCCTCAAAAATACTTATACTTCTACAGAAATAGAAGAGGTGTTTCATGTTTCTCAAAGCCACAGTCATCTAAACAAAGGAAGGATATTCAAATTTCAGCATTAACCAAGGTCTGAATTTGAATTCTTTAACAGGAAACCTGGGAAGAAAGACATAGCAACAGATACAAAACGGTGCCACAAACACATAAGGGGAGCAACCAGGGGAT